TAAATGGGCAAGGAAGAAACGAAATTTCAAAACACATGCAAGGCTCCAGCAAATTTTGACCATTGATGAAATGATGACATTTTATAAATTAAACTTATAAATTCAGCAAACCAACAAAGCCATTTGCTATTACTTGAACTTTTCTTGGTAATATACGATTGTCCTAAATATTAAAAGTAATAATAATAAAAATGATAATAGTAGTAATATCAATAAGATTATTATTATTATTGGTGTTTTGTGAAAGATTATTATTATAAAGGTTAGTAATAGTGTTATCATGATTAGTATAGTGCCACTATTAGTATTAGTATTACTATTACTATTAGAGATAATTACAAATTTATTACTAAAATAAATATTGTTTACAAAAATGTAACTAATGACTAAAGAAGTAATGAAATCATAAAAAACTTATATTCAGTTTTTAAAATGACACTATAGTGTAGTAACTATTAGTCATATTTGTGTAAATGAATTTAGTATTTTTTAAAAAAACCATAATACTATCACCTGTATGAAAGTAGCTACAGGAAAGTAAAAATCGGTGATAGAAAATCAAAACGCCTTTTCACGCCTAAGCCTCGCCTAATCTCGCCCAGGGTCTCTCAATTTTACTAGACGACTCTGGCAATGAAGCTGTTAAAGTAATGCTCATTTCAACATCAACTCGCTGCTTATCTTGTTATATGTTTATGTAGATTCTATTTTATTAACTATAAAATATGACTATTTTACACATTTGGTAAATAGGGTAGATTTTTGGTTCGTCTTTCACTTGTATTGTTATCTTAATTGTCAACAACAATTCAGGAACCGAAATATCCGGACCGGACCGACCCGTTTGAAACGGGCCGGGTAAGGTCCGGTTCCAATTTTCAAAATTGCAATACCCGGACCGGACCGACCCGTACATTGGAACCGGCGGTTCCATTTTATTTTGCATTACCCGCCCCGGCCCGGCCCGTGCCCAGCCCTAATTGGGAGAGCGCAATAAGAGGTTGGTCAAACTGAAGCACAACCAAACTATGACTCTATGGAACACCGACATTGGGATTATCAATTCAGGCCTCAATTTGTACGCATCACACCCTTTCTACATGGACATCTTTTGTCGCCAGTGGGAGCCACTCATGGAGTATTGCTACTATGCAGTAGTGTGATGGATGTTGTGTGGACGTGTGATAGGGACACAAACAAAGTCACCCGAAGACAGTGATGGATCAATATACTCAACTTATTACGTGATACTCCGTATAAGGGGTAAATTGGTTATGTAGAATGTTTTTACTTACAAATATTTATTTTGGAGGCTGTATTTAATAAAATGGATGCTGCAAATAGAATTCCCCTTAGTGATTTCCTTCTCTTTTTATTGTTTTTCTCAATTGAGCTTAAAGTTTTCTAGTTTTAAAGTTTTTTTATTGGGCTTTACATTTGAGGGACTGATTGAATCATAATCATATTATGTCCATTTCTTTTCGGAAGGGGAGGGGGGTCCCCTGTTGAGTACCTTCTTTTCTATTGAAGTCAGCTTATGAACTAAATAAACCCAAACATTTCTCTAGTTTGTTAAACCATCAATTGTTTTTCAATGTCCTCCTCGTCATTATGATTCACGGGTCTTCTTTCCCCACTCAGAATGAGCCAGTTATTTCATGGGTGTAACCATCCACGACGTGTGTCCACTCGCATCCATTTATTCAGCAAAAAAAAAACAGTTTGACTCTTTTTAGCATTCCAGCCCAACTGGTTAGGCACATAAGTGTTCGAAACTCAATGGGATGAGTTTCAGCCCTGATTACTCCATGCTTCCCCCCAGACCCCCTCCCCCAGACCCCCCGGAGTAAAAAAGAACTCCTTCAACCTTAGCATTTTTAGACATGACTGTTGAAATAAAAACGTTGTATAAAGCAACATGTGGATTAACGTTTTGAAACAGGGCATTACACACTGATTGCTACGACTAAACAACTAAACTATCAAACATATTTTTTCAAATTGCCGACTTATTTTGTTAGTCAAACCCGCTAACTAAATTCACTATCTTACTACATACAAAAGCCAATAGAAACTTGGCCATTTTTTTCCGCCCAAAATCACAGGTCGAAAACGGGTCCTATTGGTTGAAAAATAGTGTCCATGTAAGGCGTAGTAGCTATAACCCGTGGGTTAATAAGACACGCTCCAGCTCTCTGCCCAATGTTTTTCTTGAACCTGTGAGTGCACTGTGCACTACAGATGTATGTCATTGGATGCAGAACCCACAAAGCTTACAGAGAGATAGAACTGCACAATAAACAGTGAATCTCTCCCTCTTCAAACGAGCCCTACATCAGTACCCACGCCGCCCTAAGCCTCCGCATCAGGTAGCCGACTCCGGCGATGAGGCTCTTCACTCAAAACATGCTATCCTGTAACACTAAGGGAGTAACCAATGGATTTCCTCTTCTGATCGAGAAGGCTATGGAAAAGCCGGTGGAATTCAATGCTGATTTCATCATGACCATTTCCTGAAGATCGAGTGGAAGGCGCTGGTGGAGGCTCCGAGAACCATGGGCTATGCGAATCTCCTGGAAGATGCGGACACTGCCGCTTCCATGCTCACATCTGAAGAGTTCCTCCAGATCAGAAGATACACCACACACTCCTCCAAATTCACCTCGAAGAAGGAGTGCCAGTCTGCCCACAAACTGGCCGGAAGTTTCCTGCGAGTTAGTGACCCCCAATATGCTTCTTCACGAGGACGAGTTTTAAATTTATTTTTATTTTGTCCTCTGTTTTATAATGATTTTCGGATGAATTAAGAGGCGTGAGGTAGAGTTTAAGGTGTTCTATACTCTGAGCTTTCTGAGAAACGTCCTACTTTGATCTTTCTCATTGTTTATGTTGATGAACTTACACTCAACAACCTGTGATATCAAAACAGCTCTGACCTTCTTCCTTAAAAGCGAACAACGAAAATGACAAAATGGCAGTAATGGATAAACTGGTGGGAGAAAACAAGCTAGAGCTGCTAAAGAAAGATTACATCAATTGTAGACGTCAGAGCTCATCGTGCGCATAAATAAGCATTTATAGAATTGGCTTTCTTCTTTAATTTATGTGGTCTTCATAAATTGCATTTTTTTTCGTTTATTAAAATTTAAATCTATGTATATTGGAATATTGCAGTTGTAAATGTGACTGAGGTTTTTGATGGCTCCTAAAAAAACTCCATGTGAGAAGGGTTGGTGAAATAAATGCACTTTTTTGCCAATCTTCTTTTATACAAATGGTAGAGAAAAAATTGCACATATATCCTGCCTAAAAACATCACATCAACAGGTCGGGTCGGGTCTACAATGGGTCAGGTCGGGTCGGGTCGGGTTTAAAAGAAAAATCAACACCACTGCCTGCACCCATTTAATGCTCTGTGCAATTTTATTGGGTTGCTTTTTACTTTATAGGTGGCGTGTAAGCATATAATACACACTAAAAGTACATGTCATTTAATTCAAGTGGCTAAATGGACGCAGATTATGTAACTGCCAGACCAATGAAACAGATATATCTATTATCCAAGGTATATTCGATAGTAATTGCATATATCAAAGCAAATCTCCATAAAATGCAATTAATGCAGTCCAAAAGAAGTTCAACTTTTGACTTTTCAGACTTGGTGGCTCAATGCTTGCATTGAATGCATGAGAATCTTTTGCCAGCAAATATAAAAAACGTACAATTGTGGTAAATTTGTTGTTTAATGCAATAAAGAGGACAATTTTATATAATGTTTGTACTACAAAATTTAAATTAAAGATTGATGAGTACGAATTGTCCATTGGTTAAAACCCCATTAGCTTCCTTCAGCCAGTATATATACCCATTTGATGGGTTGCAAACCATCACTACTTTAGGAGTGGGGAGAATGGGAGAAACCATAAGTTGTTAAGAGGTAAATTATGTGCTTGAAACTCTTCTCGAAATTTACTCAAATAAGAATAAGAATTTTATGTGTTTTTTTGTAATATTCATCTCAGGTTAACAACCATTCAAAATATCAGAAATGGTGTATTGATGGTAAAGTGAGTAATTACTAATATCCAGCTTATTGGTAAGACTCAATATCTAATTACTTTTTAGCATTCCTATTCTTTTGTATGCTTTCTAACAATTGGATAAACACAAATCATTGACATGATTGTGGGAAAATATGATTCTCAAACACACAAGATCAATGACAACAATAAGGCAGTTTTACGAGATCATCTCCAAACCCCAATGCTTGAATGTGTAAACGTGTGTGTGGGTAGGTGTGTGTGTGGGTAGGTGTGTGTGTGTGGCTAGAAGCCATAAAATACGACATAAGAAATCATTCGATCAGTGCTCTCAACCACCATGAAATTTGGAAGATTCAGGTAAGGGTTTGATGGAACAAGTTCAATCCGCTTCCGATTCACGGATAAGTAGCTCTAAGCAAAAGAGGAACAAGATTCAAACATTGAATGGATCGGAAAACTTTAGCAGACCTATTTGTTAAATTTTTTTATAAACAGTTTGGGGGGAGGAGTTAAACTAAGGTGAGAAACACTATTGTATCATTTATTTTTGAAAACATGTTGCACCATGCCAAAAACTATTTTATAATGGATCATTTCATGATTTGTTAACCGAAACAGGGGTATAGAAACAATAAAAAGTGTTTTTCAAACGGAATGGGTACATCATTGATGTATAAAGTGTTTAGGCACAAATTAAGCTTCTCATAAAAATGTGTTAAGGATCAGTTTGAAACGTGGTTAGAGAAGATAAAAATGTGGGTAATGCAAATAAATAATTTAACCCTTTTGCACTAGAATGCAAGTGTTATTGTTAAAAAAAACCATATTGAAACAGCCTGATGTATGACATTATGGTATTTCTCATCTCATCACTTTGAGAGAGTAGTATTGTAATGTCACACATCTAGGGAACTCAATAGGTTTTATTTAAGCGTTTGTTCATGACATGTGAAGTAAGAACAATAAAGTACTTCGTTAATATTCATTCTTAACTAACTACAAAACAGTACAGAGTATTTTTTGAAAAAAGAATTACCCTAGCGAGAGCTGAGGGGCAGGTTTTCGTCGGCTTTGCGCGGCGCTGGAGATCCGACATCTGTTTGGCGTCGAGGAGAGGCTCGATTGTCTGTGGTGGCTGAGCGATGGACGAAGAGGAGGAAGGACATCGCAGGGAAGACGAAGATCGAAGAGCAGAGAGGATCCAGGTGAACGAGCAGGTAGGCAGTCTCATCAACAAATATGGCAGTCTGGGGATCGGCAGGATGGACGAGGTGCTGCTAATTGAGGACGAGGAGGAAGGGGAAACAACGGCAGGGGCAGGGAAGAAGGATTACCCGGTGGTTGGGATGATTCTCACGGACAAAGTCATCCCATTCCCTTTTTCGGAATTTTATGGCTGATTTGTGGCACCCGGGCAAAGGAATCACCATACAAGAACTTGGAGAAAGGAGGTATATGTTTAAGTTCTTTCATTATGTTGATATGAATCGGGTCTTGGAAAATGGGCCCTGGCTGTTTGATCAAAACTTGATTGTGCTAAAATCTGTTGAACCGGGGGTATCCCGAATAAGATGGTGCTAGACGAATTTGAGATCTGGGTACAGGTTCAAAATGTGCCATACGGTTTTTGAGAATTTGGGAACGGCTAGGAAAATAGGAAATGATTTGGGGGAGTTTATCTCTTGGGATGAACAAAAGTTTAGTAGAAAAAAGGAGGCTTATATGCGGGTGAAGGTTCGTATGAATACGGGTAAACCTCTAAGAATTGGGACCACGTTAGAGAAAAGCAAGGGGGGAGGACATTGGGTAGACTTTAAGTATGAAAAGCTGCCAAATTTATACTTTTGTTGTGGTATGATTGGACATGCAGAGAAGTTTTGTTCCCTGCTGTACGAGAAGGAAGGAAAAATTATGACTAAACCATTTGGGTCGTGGCTTAGAGCGAGTGGAAGGAAGGCGAAACAAACGTTGGACAGTAAATGGCTGTTAGCGGAAGGAAGTTCCTTCGGCGGTGACAAGCACTGGTCAAGTATGGTGAGACCAGGTCAGGAGGTGGTCTCGGATGAGATGGGAGAGAGCCCTAAGGCGGGAGGGGGAAATGGTTTGTTTTCAGGTGAGCTTGAAGAGGAAGGACTGACAGGAGAGCTGAAGAGGAGACGTACGTGGAAGAACCAGGCAAGCGAGGATGCCGAGAAGGATGATATGGCTCTGGATTTTCCAAAAAAAAAACGGGGATGGGGCGGGCGCGGGTCTCCAACCCCGCCAGAGGACCTGATGCTGATTACAACCTTTCTAGCTGAAGAACTTTTCTATTGTAGTTATTTTGTTTTATTTATTTTCCACGTTCTGGATGTTGTTTTTGCTTTGACTGTGCTGCGTTTTTCCAATGAGAATAATTTGGAAACTAAAACAGGTACTGAGGTGGCGTGTCTACAAGTCATAGGCTCAGGTAAGTCCAAAGTGGGATCAGCGAATTATATGGCTTCTACGGAGGTGATTAATTCAAAGTCTGATCCTTGGGCGGACGGTAGACAGGAGACTTGTCGTCACTTGGTTACCTTGTTTAGTTTGGTCTGTTTGGTCCGTTTTGATATGATATATTAAGCCAGTTTCGTTCAAAAAAAACTACAAAACAGTTTTTGGTAAAAAAAAAACAAAAAAACAATTTTAGTAATTAAGGAAAAAAGATAGTTGACATGTTCATAAATGAAGAAAAGAATGTTAACTCATAAGAGTCTATTTCTAAAATATTATAAACATCAATGAAGGTTTGGGTATTTTTGGTACATTAAATGTGTTGGTGTAACACAAAGCATTATCATCTTGTACATTATGCTCTTATCATTATACATATGGTATTGCTCTTATTTTCCTCCGTTACCTCCGTTAATATCCAAGTGTACATTGTGCTTAGTCGTCTCTTCCCTGACTTGACATTGTTCATTCATTCTCAGAGTTTTTTTAATTTAAATTTTCCCATTTCATTTAATTTCATTTAATTTGGAATTTTAAATGTGTGGTGCCCTTTCAGGCAAAAAAAAAATGTGTGGTGCCCTTCATCATCGTTTGAGCTATCTCATTCCTACTACTCAAATTAATATATAATCGTTCCAATTGGATTTTAGAATGAGAATTTTCCTTATAAGCTTTGGATCAGTTTTGCAAGAAAGTAGATCCGTAATGTAAAGCGTCAAATAGAAACGATATCTATTACGTGTAAGAAAAACGATATCTATTACTCTATTACGGATTGATGTTGGTGTTGTTGTTAATTATTTGAATTTGTTTTGAATGGTATGTGCGATTTTCAATCCGGGATCTGAAAAAATGAAATGTATCGGTATAGGATACGAATGATGAAGAACTATCAACCAAGGACCTAACATTTTGTAGGTTTTGATTTATTTATTTATTTATTATTATTCAATTACTAATTTTTGGTAAATGTTTCTTCACAAAAGTTTATTAGTTTAATAAAGCTAAATAATATTTTTAATTTTTAATTTTTTAAAATAACAAAAATTATAAAATTCATGACAACTAAGATCCTAGATTGATAGATTTCAATCACTTTTTCTTTTAAAGCAATTTTCTGATCTGATCTGAATGTTTCTGATTTGATCTGAATCTTTCTGATCTGATCTGAATCTTTCTGATCTGATATGAATCTTTCTGATCTGATCTAAATTTTTCTGATCTGATCTGATCTGAATAAAATAAGAATAAGCAATAAGTATAAGAATAAGACGAACAGAACAACACCTTAGTTCATTTATCTCTCATATTCACAAACCTCAAATATATACATAGTTTTTACTATTCTAACTTCACACAAAATATCAAATATGGAATAGGAAAGTATACTTTTTAGATATGTTTTTAAATATTAATTTCTCATTCTCACTAAATCAAATCCACATTAGCCATCTGCTTGGATAGCCACATTAGATATGTTTTTAAATATTAATTTCTCATTCTCACTTTTATATATCCGATTATATAGCCATCAATTTATATATCCGATTCTCATCCTTGTTTTGCTTTCATTTGAACTAGGCAAAGGGTATATGCATTTTAGGTATATGCTTTCTTGGAAAAACACTTTAAAATATTTGATAAAATAGCATAGGAAAATATGTTGTGTGTATGGACCTGAAAGATAAAAGAATTATCGATCTGGGACTTGAAAGATGAAATATATCGATATGAGACCCGAATGATGACAAACTATTAATTTAGGACCAGAATGATTGAGAACTATCAATTTAGGACTTAAGTAGTCATGAATTTTATTATTTTATTATTTTAAAAATTTATAAATATTATTTAGCTTTATTAAACTGATAAACTTTTGTGAAGAAATGTTAACATATCAATTACTAAAAGTGATTATATCAAATTGATATACAATATACATGCATATTTTTTAATAAAAAGCATATTGGGCATTTTATTCAATCGCGCAACGCGCGTGTTGAAAACTAGTCAATATATAGGGGAGTTGAGAACACACATAGTAAAGATCAAGCACAATACTACTGGATGCCCATTTTTTTTTATTGTGAATAACCCCAAAAATTGAGATTTTTTACAAATTATGGACTGTATTGTTAACAAACAATATTTTCATACAATTTTTCAATTTTTAAAGTAATACTGTATAAAAAAACCATTGGCCAAACTTGACCATCATTGATCAAGAAAAATCAATAGGTCCAAGTTTCATGGATGGAGGGCGTATATATTTATTCTTCTTTCAAAACATTTTAGCTCTAGCTTTCACTGACTATATTTAATTATAACTACTTATATATATATATATATATATATATATATATATATATATATATATATATATATATATATATATATATATATATATATAGATGATGAAACTTCATGTCAGGCCGGCCTGACGGGCTGCCCCGTCCGGCCGAGCCCGTTTGGGCACCTTCCCGGTGGAATTTTTTGATGAAATTTTTTGAGCATGTTCCTCATCAAGTCTAGTTTGTCCATACCAAATTTCAGCTCAAAATTCGATCGGGAAGGTCGTCAAATGATTTTTGCAAGTTAACTGGTCCGGAAAATACATCCACACAATTGATTTATATAAAGAATCTTTCACTAATTATATCAACAAATAATAAAATACAATTAATGTATAATTTTGATTCGTGCATCGCATAAGTGAAAATCTAATTAATACTCCGTAACATGTAACGTATTGTTGGCCACTAAATGCCAAACATGCCCTTAGTCTCTCCTACGGAGTATTAATCCATGATGCTAATGGGCTGTTGGGTTGGACTCTAACAACCAATATACTTGAGCTCCACATACATGGATCGAGCCCAATAATTGGATGGGGCCCAATCCATTTTTATTGCTGGTCAGTTAAATTTCATTTAATCCAATTTGCAGAGAGCCCTATAATCAAAGAAGAAAGTTGGAAGACAGGAATCTTGCTTGCGAAAAAAGTTTTCACTTGATATTTCTGAGGAATTGGGGAGCTTAAGTTTTCAGTTTTCACCGCATAGTTGTAGCACTTGCTGCGCTCACAAGTTTGTGACGATGTCGTCAGATCCGAAGGGTTCTGGAGCCAGCGCCGGCGATAAGCAAGATAAAGATAGAGAGGCGGCTTCTACCAAAGTTCCGGCCAAGGATCTTAAGAAGAAGGATGCCAAGAAAGACGAGGATCTCGTGAGTTTGTTCGAATTTACGCTCTTGCTTATTCATAATGCAGACCTTTTTAAAGATTATTATGCTGAAATTACAACTAATTAACTAAAGAAATTAAATTAAATAAAATTCTATGCAGTTTGTGTTATGAAGTGATATGCTATGAGAACTATTCAATAATGAGAAAGTAGGGATAGAAATGGCTTTTTTATACTAGTATTATTTACTTGCCCGTACTTATTTAGTCTGAGGCGTTTGTTATTGTTGTTACCATTAATTCTGTTTGTCTATATATTTATTTCTGGTTTTAATAGTCGGAGGAGGATATAGCGTTGAAGCAACAACTAGAATTGTATGTGGAGCGTGCACAGGACCCTGACACATCATTGCAGACCGTTGCTCTTGAGAGCATGAGGTAATTTTTCTCCAGATGCCTTTATAATCTTGAATCTGATTTTAGAGTATGATCCTTGGTTTTTTTCTTACTGAAGTTTAAAATATGTCGGTATATTGTTGTTTGTAGCACTTATAAAATTTGTTTATATGTATATAACTATAGGACATTAAGTTGCAACTAAATTTTGTTTAGTCACTTTAATGGGCTGTCCTGTCAAAGCGTGTGCAACTGTGTATTTAGATGAATGCTAACTTTATATTGGTGAGATATATTCAATATTCATACTTTGTGCAAGATGAGATGATAATACTTCTCATTCTCATGTCAACTTTTATTAAGTTCCAACCTTTTCTTGGTGGCTCTAAATACATTACTATCTAAACAGCATATATATCACTCTTTGCTAAGCTAGTGCTTACTACCCAGCGAATATGATAAGTCGACAACTACCTTCAATCAACTTATTATTATTATTATTATTATTTTTTGAATTTGCAGGCAGGAAATTCGAACAGCAACAAGCTCTATGACATCCGTTCCCAAGCCACTGAAGTTCTTGCGACCACATTATGGTACATTGAAGTCTCACTATGAAAACATGCCAGATTCTGATGCAAAGGTGTCAAGTGTTTTCCGATCTTCAACTTTTATGACACGATTTTATAAGATGTATGATGTATGTTTCATAGCTTTGAATTCACATCCTCCCCACACACGCAGAAACTTATGGCTGACATACTTTCTGTTCTGGCGTTGACAATGTCTGCTGAAGGAGAAAGGGTATGTTCAATTTTTCTTCTTCTTTCAAATATCATTCTTCCATCTTGCATATATTATATAGTTGCATGAATTGCATCTTCTTTCTACAAAAACATTGGTCTCCATGGACACTGATCATGCTTAATAATGAGCAATATGCATGTGATTTTCTGTACATTTTCAAGGGGTTTTAGTTAGGAAAATTAGTTCATGTAAGCTTTCGATCTTTTTTCAAGATAATATGTTTGCTGCTTATTATAAGTGACTTTTAACTATCCTTGTCTTTTGTATGTGCAGGAGAGCTTGAAGTATAGGCTACTGGGATCTGAAGGTGATATTGGATCATGGGGCCATGAGTATGTAAGGTAGTTACTAGTTAGTCCTCTTCATATGTATCTGACTATTTTCGATAAGGATAAAACAGTTTTGAGTTCTAAAGACATGCTCCGTATAGCAGTGGAAAGACTTAAGGTAAAATAACGTGATGAAGAAAATATTGTATTTGCTATGTACCCGTTTGAATAATGACGGTTTCAGGAAAACGCCATTCATTTTTGAACTACAAACGCTGCTAAAAGC